AAAAGCTATATTAGCTATACCCTTACTATAAGGGTAAGCTATAGTTAAGGGGGTATATCGTAAAGCGTAGCTTAATTTTATAGTTCTTAGAGATATCCCTTAGTAAGAGGGACTAAGGAAGCTAAAAAATAGGTTTTAAGGAAGGAGCTAAAAGGAGGTATAAAGAGAAGGGTAAGGGTAAGAGGGGAAGTAGAAGTAGTAATAGCTTCTTATAGAGGTAGTAAAAGATAAGACGGATATACTAATAACGGTTAGAAAGAAGGGGAAAAACTAGTAAAAAGCTTAGTAGTTAAAAAGATATAAATAGCTTCTTTAAGTAAGATCTTCTTTATTAATTAAGATACTAAATAGGTATAAAAAGGGGTATAGGATAAAGGAAAGAAGGAGAATTAAGGTAATATAATAATTACCCCCTTATTATAATTACTACTTTATAAGAATTAAATATCTTTACCTTACTTATCCGATCCCTTACTTTTAATTTTACCTTTATATATTTTATATATACTTCTTATATCTCTCTTTATAAGAATAACCCTTATAGCTATTAATAACAAAAAGAGTATTACCTTACTTATAGTACCTTATTTAAGGGATAAAAGACTACTTTAGCTATTAAGTAGTAATAGTATTACTTATCTGGCCTTTTAAGGAGGTAATAAAGTCCTAATCTTATAGAAAATAAAGTATATTAAGGAACTATTAGTATTAAAAGTCTTAACCCTTAAAAATTATAAAGGGAGTTAAGGCCTAGCTTATAATAAAGATATATTTAACTATTATAGTTTAATAATATATTATTAGCTACTTTTTAAGAGTCTCTTACTTTTCTAAGCTCCTTAGTACTAAACTATTAAAGCTAAGGCCTTTAAGGATACCTATTTCGTCTATATTAAAGTAGGACTTTAGTAGGATTGCCTATATAGCTAGTAGCTTAAGTAATAATAATAATTCCTTAATATAAGCTATAAATACGCTATTAACGTAAGTAGAATTAAGAGATCTACTTTTAATAGTACTAATCTCTAGGTTCTAAGCTAAAAAGCTAGAAATCTATTACTTTCTAAGTAAATAAGTATCGCTGCTAGCCTTAATAATATAGCTAATAAATTCCTTAACTTAATAATATATTAAAGGTAGCTTAAGGGCGGCTTAGGTAGGAGCCTAGTTAATAAGGTATTTTTCTTACTCTTAGCTAAGCCTTTAATATACTTCTTTTACCTCCTTAATAAGTAGAGCCCTTTTTAGATATATATAGAGAGTCCCTCTTAAAATACCTTACTTTCGACTAATATAAAGCTAAGGTATCTTATTTTTAATAGCTTTAAGTGCTTCTTAGAGCTAGTTTTTAGTATATATAGAAAGCTAAGGTATTACTAATATAAATAGTATTTATATTATAATTATAGGATAAAAGATATATAAGAAAACGCAGTTATAATATAATATATTTAACGATATAATAGTATTATAAAGAGTGCTAGTATTAAGGTATACTAGACTTTAAGTAAGCTAACTTATAAGTTAGTATACCTAGCTCCTAGCACCCCCTACTTCTAGCACCTCCTTATATTACTATCGCGTTAACTACTTATTATATTATAACCGCGTTTTCTTATATATCTCTTTTTTAATAATTATAAAATAAATATTATTCGAATTAGCGATACCTTATCTTTCTAAATATACTAAAAACTAGCTCTACGAAGCGCTCGAAGCTATTAATAATAGTATACCTTAGCTCTAAGCTAGTTATAAATAAGGTATTCTAAGAATAACCCTTTAAACGCGTCTTAAAGGAGCCCTACCTATAAAGAAGGTAAAAGAGGTATCTTAAAGGCTTAGTTAAAAGTAGGAAAAATACCTTTATAAGTAGGTTCTTACTTAAGCGGCGTTAAGGCTGCCTCTAATATATTATTAACTTAGGGAATTCGCTAGCTATATTATTACTACTAGTAAAGACCCCCGCTTACTTAGAAAATACTAGGTTTTAAGCTTTTTAGCCTAAAACCTAGAGATTAATATAATTAAAGGTAAATCTCTTAATTCTACCTATATTAATAGCGCTTTTATTAGCGGGATTAAGGAATAGTTCTAATTACTTAAGCTACTAGCTATATAGGTAATCTTACTAAAATCATACTTTAATATAAACGAAATAAGTATCCTTAAAGGCCTTAGCTATAACGGGCTAGTACTAAGGAGCTTAGAAAAGAAGGAGGCTATTAAGAAGTAGCTTAGATCGCGTTATTAAATTATAATCGTTAAATATATCTTTATAATAGGCTAGGCCTTAACCCCCTTTATAATCTTTAATAGCTAGGACCTTTAATAGTAATAGTTCCTTAATAAACTTAATTTTCTAAAGGATTAGGACTTTATTACTTCCTTAAAGGGCTAGATAAGCGATTCTATCGCTATTTAATAGCTTAAGTAGGTATTTATCCCTTAAATAAGGCGCTACTTATAAGGGAACGTTCTCCTTATTATTAATAGCTATAAGAGCTATTAAACTAACGATTTTATATATAAATGCTTTAAGAATTATATTTATCTTCTTTTTCTATTAGTATACTCCTCCTACGTCCTCTAACCTCTTAATATCTTAGTTTTCTCGCTAATTAAAGCTACCTACTAACGTTAACTTAAAAAAATTATTTCTTTCGATAATATAGCGCTAATTAGTAAGGCTACCTTCCTTTAAGTATATTATTAGGCCTAGTAGGCTAGTCTAACTAAAAAGAATATTAAGGGCGGGTAGTATAGGTTAGGACTATAGCTAGTTAATATAGTAAAGCCCTTACTAAGCCGGTTCGTTTTACTATAGCCGTTAACGCCGTTAAAAAAAGAATTCTAGTACCCTAGCTATCTATAATGCCCTTAAAACGCCTAAACGATTATAAAAAGTCCGTCGCCTTATTATAGGGCTAGAAAACCGAGGTTAAGTTAACCGTACGATCCGACTACTCTTTAGTAAGGTTAGCTATAGCCTTAATAAGTAAAATTAATAGCTTATAGCCTCCTAGCTTCGAATATAGTAGCTAGAGTATTAATTATATCGTCTACGGCCTTAAAAATAAATAAAAGGTCCCTTAGGACCCTAATAGGCGGTTCGTATAGATTAAATAAGTTATAAAGACAAAGAAATAGCTCGAGCGCACGCTTAAGCCGGCTGCCGCCGCTATAGCTAATTAGAACGTTAGATTTAAGGCTCTTTATAATAGCTTGCAGCTATAGTAGCTAGAAACACTAAATTTAATTATCGTGATATTAAAATGCGGCTTTAATTGCGTTTAGAATATGCCTGCCTTAGTGCTGCGAAGGGTGCCGGAAGTAGGGGGTGCCGGAAGTAGGGGGTGCCGGAAGCTAGGTGTGCTGACTTATGTCGTAGAAATGCATTTAGACGTCTATAGAATAAATTATGCGTATTTGCCAGCTTGGCCACACTAAAAGAGGTGTGTCCACACCTTTTAGGGCTGTCCATTCCTTTTGTGCCTAACTAAGGGGTAGGGGCCCCTAGTTAGCTTACGAAGGAACATGCCAACGGGTACTACCACCTTACAATAAAGTGGGGCGTGGCGCGGGTATCCCGCCTAGTCCTTTGTAAGCCCCTAGGGGCGCAGCCACCGCTAGCCTCCTAAGCGGCATGCTTCGTCTTGGCTTCCTATTTCGCTATAGTAGTTCTACTTACTATAGGTCTTATTCCTCGTGACTGCCAGGGGGAGGCCGGAGGGCGAAAGTGCATGATTGACGGCTTGTGCCGATGTACGCGTCATCTCCGCGTCACTCGAGGTGCTCGGCCTGCAATGGAAATAAGCCAGGGAGCAAGAGGTGGAGGAGCAGGTGCATGGGAGCTGTGCTGTTCTTATATTCATGGGGGGAAAAAAGGCTGTCTGCCAGGCAGCAGATGCTGCGAATAGGCGATAGGTTAATGGAGCCTTCTTCCCTTTTCCGACTCTATATAAGACCGGCCGAGAAGCTCTATAAGAGCCGAACGGATAGGAAGCCACCTAAATCCAATTAGAAATGATCGCAATAGCAAAAATGTCAGAGCATGGGTTTGCATTATGCTTAACTAAGTTACCAGAAATGCCAAGGATGCTAACGACTCGCACATAGTTGTTGGGATTCTCCTGCCTCTTAGGTCCCTAGCACTTGGAGATCCACAAGGCTGTAAAGGAGATACGGGACTTGAATCGTCGCAGCCACCTAGTTTGCATCGAGTATAAGAATCGCAAGTCGTCTCTTCTTTCTCTAGCATGCTTACCCCCCTCCCATTTAGCATCATTGCGCGAGCTTTTCATTCTTTTACATTCGAGACTCAATTCAGCTCCGGCAATCTGCAATCACTTCACCATGCGGGCTCCTACTCTACTCGCTGTGGCATTATCCGCTTCTCGATCTGTCTCGGCTCTTCAATCTCTAGCCCAAGATCCAGCTCTGACTGAGGTTGACGGCAAGTCTCAGCCTAGTTCTCGTTCCTGCAAAACCGTCACTGGCCAGGGCCTTAAACCTGTCTCGAGCGATACCAAGGCACAGGAAGCCGGGTCGGCTTGTAACGTCCAATCCGGCGACTATGAGTTAGAGGGCTTTGCATATCCAGAAAGCTGTCATTTCGTTACTCCCACCTGCGAACTAGTCTGCAGGTAAGATGATATGTCACGATATTTAGCACTGGCGCAGTGGTGCGTTACTTGCATTCTTGCTAATGGACTTGCAGCCAATTGTTCGAGGCCTTATATATAGTCTTCGATGGTGTCAAGCACACAGCAAAACGAAATCTCTCTATTCCAGAAACTGAGGGAAATCTCCAATTTCATGCCAGCGGTGTCAGGTACGACGAAAAAAATGGGCGCTTGACAACTCTGCATAATGACGGCGCCGCCTTTTATACCTCGGGCCAAGACGTTGAAGGTGATAACTGGATTGCCCACTGGGATGTCAAGGAGGATTATAAGCTGCTCTGGAAATACAACTTGAACAACGCCCCTGGACTTTCTATGTGCCGAGGCTACCAGGAAGTCACTCACCTTCCGGACGGCCGCATCATCGCCGTCTCCACCTATGGAGGGTGCTTGGTCTTGGTTACCCACAATGGTGAAGGGGTTACCGACACCAAGATTCTCTACAAGAGCAAGTTTGACGAAAAGACGAAGCCTTTTCCTGCAGGTACTGGCGCCATCGACCAGATCAACGCAACCGCGTACTTGTTCAACGACCAGAGCGCCAAGACGTTGAATATTCTGGATACGGAGAAAAATACAACCACACAGGTCAAACTGCTAAACGGACTTGACCAGACCGGAGACGATGGCCTCGCTGTCCCCAAGAGATTCCAGGGCAAATGTGCCGTCGTCGCTGCAGCATCGGAAGGCTGGTTTTTCTGGTGCTCGAGGGATGGTTGGCATTCAGCCGAACTTATCGACACAATTGAGAACAAGTACGCCAACGGTGGTGCAGGAGAGGGTGACTTAGCGACGAAGAACGGGTCGTCCACTGCTATATACGAGATTGCTGCTCAGGGCGAAACCGGCGGAGATGGCAACAGTCTTATTTTCGGGAACTACGAGTTCTTCATGGACGCTCCCCTCGGCCCAAACAACGAGACAATACAAGGAACGAGGACCAAGTTCCCCCAGGAGGACCTGACTAGCCGGCTGGCTAAATTCTACGAGAAATTCCAGTCTGGTGCTGCAAGCCAAGTGACAGAAGGTTGAAACAAGGCTGATTGGTGCAGAGGCGGAATAAATCATCCCACTCCGATATATAAAACAGGCAGTGAAAGTTTTGTTTAGCACTGTTGTCAATATCTGCTTGTTTATCTGCCTGTTTCTTTTTAGGTATCAGTCAAAGTAGTGCGAGAAATGCATGTCCCTCTCACGAAGAGAGCATGCAAGTGGGCATTGATTGTGTATGTCGCGCGCCTAAAAACCTGGGGCACTGATCATTCGGGCTCCAGTGGCAATCCTTGGAAGAGAACACCAAATTGTGCAGATATCTTCTGGCTAGGTGTTCCCCTTCTGAACGTGGGGAATTCTGATTGGAACCACGGAGCGAAAGTGAAGTGGAGGCTGCGATGCGCTGGCAGAGGCTGTCTCTACAGTTGTCGGCTATAAAGGTACAAGGGATAACCACAAGCTCCTGTCCGAGGTTCTTTAGAGATGAACAATTGAATCACTGGCCGCCGTTCTTGATTCTCTGTTTCGTCGTGCTCCTGCGCCTCACATCAGGCGAGCAAACGTGAACTGTGAAGCCGTACTCGAGGTTGTCGACGCTCGGGCATTCCGTACGTCATCAGCTCTAGCACCAGCGGCGAGAATAGTAGCTTTTGCTCCTCGAAAAAGTTAAGCAAGTATTCCATTCTGATCATCACTTCCCATAAGGCGCCGTAACGGCCTTCTTTGGCCCAACCCTAACACCTCATAGTGATCTCGTAGAGAGGTTTTAGTAGACTCTATATCTCCGCTAAGAGAAGCCAGTCCTATAGTGAAAGATAATCCTAGGCAGGCACACGTTGTCGGGGCTCCGCTACCTTTATTTCGAGATATACGATGAAATAGTTAATTTGCTCTCGTTTGCGAATGGCACGTTAGATTATTAGAAAGGTTAAATTCTATCCGGTTTTATTGTTCTATATTAACTCGAGGTCGATGGCATCTCGCCCCTCCTTAAATAGCTAATGATCGTCCTCGTCGCACCGGTTGCCGGCCAAGGACTTTATTAATTCTCGCCGTTAAGGGGTGGCCCTAACGAACCGGACGATGTTGTGCAGCTTGCCCACTGCTCCCCGCCTCCGCTAAAGTCGGAGCTTACGCTCTTTGACTTGGGAAACCGCTTCTATAAAGGCATCCCGCTTAAACGAGTTAGGGTCCTCTCCCTAGAGAAACGCGCGAGCTATAAGGTTGATAATATGCCCAAAGCACCGGGTTCGATAGGCTCTGATATCCTCCTCGGTCACCGCAGAGCGGAGTTGACGGTAGAGGCTCGCTAAGCATATATCATTAGACGACATATTGTCGCAGACACCCGCGCTAATTCGATCTCGTATCCCATACTCGCCGAAGATGCTATATATTGTCGTTGCTTAGTTATCTCCGTAATGGCATCCCTATACGCGGCGCAAGCTAAGAAGTCACGATTGGACTTAGTAGCAGGCGTCGAGATAGTGGGCATATAGACTAAGGAAATCGTACCGATTTAGAGAAGTCTATATATTATAGCTAAAGCTAATCCTTATAACTGCCTTCTCTAATTGCCTCGATATAGCTCCCTTCTTTACTTTATATAGCTTCCGTATAGTCCTACGCACGGACTATCGGCTCCACGGCACCTCCTTTGCTAAGGACTTATCGTATAGTATGGTTTTCGATCTAGTTAATCTTAATTAATCTTAATTAATAGATTAATTAAATTAACTAGTAAGATTATTAATCTTATTAATCTATATAGTGCTATAACTACTATAGAGGCGCTACTAATTTAATAATCTATTTTAGCGGGATAGTTAAGTAAAGGAGTACTATAGCGTAGTATTTAAAAGGATGCTTAATTAACTACTCCGTGCTTTTATCTTTAAAGTCTAATATAAGGACTTCGATGCTAACTCTTTATATATTCTAGCATTTTAATAGTTTCTGCTAATAACTACGCTCTATTCCTTAAGATTATATAACGCGCTCTTAAAAAAAGCTCGCTTTACCTCGTTACTTATTACTAGAATTAAGAGGATATTAATTACTATAATCGAAAGCTATAGAAAGCGTATTTATTATTAGTCTTATAGCTACTACTTAATAGTAGTTATCCTACTAAGCCTATACGGTTCTTAGTTATAATAATTATTAAACTTATCCTAGCTTCGTAGCCGATAGTAATCCTTAAGGCCTCGCGCGATCCTATTATATACGGATACTAGCTCTCGGGTCTCTAGACTAGCTTCGGCTTCGTATAATAGCATAGCACTAAGATTGCTATCTTAATAGCTCCGCTAAAGCTCCCTAACGTTACTAATTACTTTCTTTTACTAGGATACTTTCTAGTTCCTTTAGATAGACTTTAAATAAAAATCTAGATTAAGTATAATACTAGTAGTATAGAGAGGAGAGTCGTCTATCTTACTATAATACTTATTAAGGGTCTCTTAGCTACTTAAAATCTATAAATAAAGATCCTTATTAGCCTTAAATTTAAATAGAACTCCTATAAGGTACCTAATTAGTATATCTATAATAAAGAGTATAAAGTCTATTATTATATTATATCCTTAGTAATATAGAGTTACCTCTTAGAATAGTATAAAAAAATCTAGACCGTTCGAATCTTTTATTAGTCTAAAGGGGAGAGGAAGTCGTTTTTAGGGTTATCTTAGTAAGCTTTATAGAACCTATTAATCTTTCCTTTATACTAAAGTATAACCTTATATATATTAGTCTAGTAATTCTATCTTATATAATTATCTAGCGGAACTAGTCGCCCTATTAACTTAATAAAAGCTTAGGTATAGCTGCTTAACGCTTAAATAAAGATAATAATATTATAAAGCTTACTAAGTAGACCTATTTTCTAGAATAACTATTATAAGGATTTATTAGTAGATCTAGCTATACTATCTTAAGCTATAATTCTCGCGAAGAGAGATACGAGAAGTATATATAAAATGCACGAAGGTAAAAGTAGAAGTAAGGGGTCGGATAGGTAGGGCAGAGATATTTAAATCTTACGGGGGCAGCAATTATAGTAGGGGAGTGATTATTATATTGCCTTTATTGTCCTTCTTTCCTCTATCCAACGCCCCTCTTTATACCCGTCTAGTATCTTAATTAATAAAGAAGATCCTACTTAAAGAAGCTACTAATATCCCTTTAACTACCGAGCTTTTTGCCGGGTTTTCTCCTCCTTTCTAGCCGTTGCCGGCATATCCGTCTTATCTCTCGCTACCTCTATAGGAATCTATCGCTACTTCTGCTTCCCCTTATGCCCCTACCCTCCTCTCTGCACCTCCTTTTAGCTCCTTCCTTAAAACCTGTTTTTTAGCTTCCTAGGTCCCTCGTGCTAAGAGATATCTCCGAGAACTACGAAATCAGGCCACGCTTCGCGACACACCCCCTTAGCTATAGCCTGCCCCTTAAGGGCTTAGCTAATACGGCTTCGGGCTAGTAAGCGTATAGAGGAGGTTCTTAGCTCTGCACTTCTCCCTTTACTCGAGGAAAGCAAGGGCCCTTTTAGGTCCCTAGGCTCTTTTAGACCTACTTAAGGAAAAGGGGCCTAAAGAGGGGAAAGTCCTATAAGAAAGGGGGCCTTCTTAGAAGGGAAAAACCTAATTAAAATAGCCTCTAAGGGAAAAACCTCTTCCTTTTCTTCGGCTATAGACGTTACCTTCTCGTACGTGCTATTAGCTCCTCTCGTAGACTCTTAAGGCGGGCCTCTAAGGACAGCTTTTCTCGAACGTCTTCTAGCCCTATTTACTATAAAAAGACAGCTAGCTTCTACTTCGGCAGGGGCTTCGTAAGACCGTCGGCTTTTATCGATGCCGTTAGAACCTAACGGACGGAAATAAGTCCCCTTTAGACCTCTTAGCGTAACTAATGCTAGTAGATATCGATATACCGTAGCCGGGTCGATAGCTTACTATTTTCCTCTATAAGAATTCGTATAGTCTACGTGTTATCGCATTCTATAGCTAACGGGGACGGAATTTATAGTCGTAATAATATTAGTAGCCGGCTAAGGAAAATCGCTTCTTTTAACGCTTCTAAAAGAGCTAGTAGCTCTGCCTCCGTGCTTAATATAGTAACGGTAGCTTACTTCGAAGCTCTCTAAGCAATAGTTCCTCTAAAAAGGGATATAATATACCCCTATAAGCTCTTTCTATCTAATAAATTGTCCGTAAAGGACGAATCGCTCGAATAGAGGAAGATTTCGGCAGCTGATTTCCTTCCCTGCCCTCTTAGGCGCAAACTATATAATCTCGTTAAATAGAGATAAAGGATAGCTCTCTCTGCTACTTCTTAATGCCTAGGGCTAGGATTCTAGTTATACTTAGCTAGCCGGGAGACCGTAAAAGAGATATCCGGTCTAGTAGAAATAGCTAAAAAAAGCAGGGAGCCTACCTTCTATTAGTATTAGTGTTTCTCTTACTCCTTAGCTTAAAACGACGGATTAGGCAAAAGCTCTTTATTTAATATAGGCGTAGAGGGAAGCTTCTTATCGAGGGAATTAGGGAGGAATTTATAAGCGACCTTATTAATATAGGCGTCCTAGGTAAGCTAGATAGTCCGTTAGGACCTATTCCTAAGGATTCGTATCCCTAGGAACCACTTTAGCTCCCCTAGCCTAGTTATCTTATACCTTTATTATAGGCCTTTTATAGCCTCCCTAGTAGTTGCTTCTTCCTCTTTTAGGTAGGCCTAGATAATATCGTCGACGTAGAAGAAGACCGTGATTTTACCCTTCTATATTATACACGGTTCCTAAGGGACTTTCTTAAAGCCTAGGGCTTCTAGGGAACCTATTAAATGCTATTGCTAAAGAAGAGGTAATCTTCGTAGTCCGTATAGAGCTTTCCTAAGCTATAGAACCTTTCCTAGCTATTAGAAGCCTAGTAGAAGGCGTATATAAATAACTTCTTCTTCTTCCTCGAGTAGACAGTTAATAAAGGCGTTAACTATATCTATCTATTCGAGCTCGAGGTCGAATTCTGCTACTATAGCTATAAGGG